GGAAACAAACTATGGAATGCATCTGAAGTTACAACAGCTCTGAAAAAAGTGACTTATGATCATTTTTCACACTTATGACCGTTGCAGCATCCCCATGGTCATGTGATCAAAATTCAGATGCTTAACAGCTGACTCATATTTATGACTGTTGCAGTGTCCCAGCGATATGTGATCACCTTTTGTGACCTGTACATTAGGCATTACCAATAAGGAAATGGAACAGGTGCTCCTTTTCTGCTAAAATAAATTATATCATCACAGTATTCTTCAATAATATTGTAGATCCATATTCTTGCAGTAAATCGTGCAAGAAAAATTGCTGGACATTTAATCCAATTATATTGATGCTCTTTATTAATATCAATACTGCTGTTTGCTCCTCATGCATCTTCCCTGAACAACTTCAGTTTGAATTCCAGAAGCTCCAAATAACCAAAAATAACCCCATAAGAGCTTTTAAGAGTATTGGGCAATTAAGAACTGGAATATCTAGCATGCATGGAAGACAATTTTGGCATCTCTGGGTTACATTTACATTTATTACAATTAATTAAACAAACATGTTAGTTTGCATCTACTTTTAAGGAAAAGCCCATGTTCAGCTAACTGTTGTAATAATCAGAATGCAGTACAGGTAGTCCTCGACTTACAAAAGTTCATTTAGTGACCAGTACAACGGCACTGAAAAAAGTGACTTATGACCATTTTTCACACTTACGACTGTTGCAGCATCCCCCTGGTCATGTGATCAAAATTAAGACACTTGGCAATTGACTCATATTTATAAAATGGTTGCAGTGTCCCAAGGTCACGTGGTCACCTTTTGCCACCTTCTGACAAGCAAAGTCATTGGGGAAGCCGGAGTCACTTAACAACTGTGCTACTAACTTAACAGCTGCAGTAATTTACTTAACAACTGTGGCAAGAAAGGTCATCAAATAAAATGGGGCAAAACTTACTTAATAACTCTCTTGCTCAGCAACAGAAATTTTGGACTTAATTTTGGTCATAAGTCAAGGACTACCTGTACTGATTTACATTATTACATTAAGCAGACTTGGCTATTTCTTCTTCTCTTTTGTGGCTCCTTTCAAATAATAAAGATTTGTTCAGGATAGAAAATTAATTCATTGGGACATGAGAAATATAATTGCCTTGTACGCCTATAGTACTTTCAGTATCCATAGATCCTTTATTATAAAGGGTAGTTAAAAAGCTATCCTGAATATTTATTTAATTTAATGATTTAGGTTTAATTAATTTAATGATTTAGATTTGTCTAATGATTTATTTTGTTGGGTCTGCTTTTGACTTTTTCTTTGTAAAACATAAACTTTCTTTTTATCCTTATGAGCCTCTTTTGTCCCTTTTTCAAATTTGTCCTTTATTTTTTTTCCAAGAAAGTATGGTCAACTGTACTTCTAGTGAGCAAAGTTCATTTTTTATAAATCTTGTGTTTGAGATTTCATTATTTCCTTTCATTTGTTGATCAACCTGCTAGAAAAAAACCTTCTACTTACTCTTGTTATAGAATGTCAAGTAGCATCTTTTAAAGCCGTATTAGTTTCTCAAATTTCAGGCTACGTTTTAGGGCTAATAAGTAGCTAACAACTGGAAACAGGCCTCTGTTTTGACAAAGTAGTAAAGATCTCATTAAACCTCAAGTCCCGAAGTACAGTACTCTATTATTGCTTATAAAAAATATTTCACTCAGAGTCACAGCAGATGGAAGAAACTTAGATTTCAAAGGCGCGCTAGGTCTCACCACACTGTGGCTTCACATGCCTTGGTGCAGAAAATGTAAACAGTGGGGTGATTCAGTTGAAAGCAGCAGCAAAGCCTAGCAGAGATTAAACTGCCAATTGTATCTTCCCTGAAGCAAAAGCAATTTTATGGGCAGAGAAGACTTTCATTCTGTTAGAATCATGCCTCACTACTTTTGTATTTCACTGTAGATCACCTCTTTATGAAATAGTTTCTTTAATTTTTTTTCAAAAAAACCCCCACCTTTTGTTACTGGTATGCCATCGTGAAAAATGAAGTGATCAAAAAATGGTGGGGCAAGGAGGAGGAGAAGTAGCAGAAAAACAGTTGGAAGCTTGCAATTGTGCTGTGTCCTTAGATGTTTCTACAGCTTTGTACTTTCTGCTACCACATAAAATCTCTCTTAATCCTCTGCCTGGGATCTCATGGCACTTTTCTATGAGAGGTTTCTCCAAATAATAAGACTATGGAAAATCGAAAATGGATGAAGATAATGACTGAATGCTTGGCTTGTTTTGCTTTTCTTCACAGCTTGAGTCGCTGTTGAAAAAGTGTACATATAAATCACATTGGGCTTGCCTTTAATTAAAAGGACAGAATATCAAATAAAATTTCTGAACACTCACAGATGCTGAAAGCAGCTCAAAATGAGATCCAGTTTTGTATGTTTGTGTGTTATCTTTCACACGCAGAGACACCTAGAGATTTTTTTTTTGTCCCCGTGTCTCATTCTGCATCTGAAATGTTTTTCCCTTACAAACTGGTAGCATTCACATCTGTCCCTCTTTCTTAAATTACAATTTCCTTTTCTTGTTTCCCATTTGTCCATGTGCTTTATTTTTAACCGAGAGATGAGATCACCTTTGGATGGGCTCCAGACACTTGTCCTGTTCAAAATGCATGAGAGTCCATGAAGCTCATATAAAGGGAAAAATAGATTATAATCAGCTCACAATCACAGTTGTGCCCGAGGCTACTCATGACTCAATAGGATCTATATATTTCTGGCTCTTTACAGAAGAACAGGGGGAAAAGATTTTTCTCTTGACTACAATTAGATATGGGTGACCCTGCATTTACATTTGACTAAAACTGAAAAAAAATCTCAACCAGCTTTGTTGTTTAGTTGTTATTCAATCAATAGAAAAGTCTATATTTCAGAATCGAAACATCTAAAATTCATGGACCTTTCTCAGATACGAATCTTTATGCTGATAGGAAAAAATACTGGCTGAGAACTTTTAGTTTTGTAATTTTCAACATAGAATTTGGTCCTTACTGGTTTTTCAGACTTGACACAGACATGTGAAGATAAAGATAATCAAATCTTTTGCAATCTCAGAGTTACTGGTTTACGATAATAACCTTCCAATGTTCTGTTTCAGTGCTCTCTGCCTTTTGAATACAGACACTCCTTGACTTATAACCATTTGTTTTGTGACCATTCAAAGTTACAATGGCACTGAAAAAAGTGACTTACAACTAGTCCTCACACTACCAACCATCATAGCATACCCATGGTCATGTGATCAACATTTGATTGTATAGCAACCGGCATGTATTCATAACCCTTGCAGGATCCCAGGACCTTCCCAACTGCTTCCAATAAGCAAAGTCAATGAGGGAAGCCACGTTCATTTAATGACTTACAACTGGGATGATTCACTTAACAAAAGGTTATAAAAGGTTAATCAGAAGCAACTCATTGTACAATTGTCTCACTTTAGCAACAGAAGTTCTGATCCCAATTGTATTCATAAGTTGTGGACTACCTGTAACTATCAGTTTCAGAAATATTTCTTTCCAGAGTTATTAAAGTGCAGTTTATGATATACAATTCCTACGTATATGGTTAACTAATAAATAATAAATGCCCAATCAGCTAAATTAAACTTTCAATAGTCCATGTGATGGGAGCAGGTTACAACCAATTTAATCTTTGTATTGATTGCCTTGTGCTTTCCTGTACACGCAATAAGAACAATTTATTATTGAAATTATTAGGTTTCAAAGCAATACTTTTTGTGGAGAAAATCAATAATTGAATGGATGTTGCTTTTCTGTCCAGAACTGAGGAAGGAAATATTATCTTTCCTTTATTTAATTGTTGTGGGAAAAGAAAATTATAATAGCAGGATTAAGTGGTGCATTCTTTTCTTTTCTGCTTGATTTTGCTCAATATATTATCTGACCTACATTAGTGTTTCACAAGTGTCATTTTTCACAGGTGTCAAACTTTATCATATGGTATAAAATAAGGCAAACCCTCAGTATCTGAAAGAAAAATAAACTCACTACCACAGTATCATTATGTTCTGCACATATGAAATGTGTATAGAAATGAAGATAGAATGAAATATGCTCTGACATTCATACTTAAATAAAAGTAAGGAAATAAAACTCTGCCTTAATCCAGATGAACAAAACAAATCTGGGCCATTAGGAGTTATGCATTACATTGTCCCTTCTACCTTTGGCTTGCAAAGATTTGTGTTTGAGCTGTTGTTGATAGTTGTGAACAAGGCATTTTCATGCCTTATGATTCTAATTATTATCCTGATGACCTTGGAGAAGATTTTGATTTTGGCTTGATTTTATTCCAGTATTTCTACATTTAACCCCATTAAATGAAGAGGAGTGTGAGACTGTAGCAATTAGAGTAGATCAGAGTCAAAGTGATTTGCATAAACTGGAACCTGACAGTGTATTTTAATTGGTTCATACAATTCTGTGTACAGAAGGAAGTTCAGAAGCATGCATGAAGTCAGTTGAGTGTATTTAGCTTGGTTCAATACTATTGTACAGCTTTATACCAACAAAGCTTTTGTAATGCATCCCTCTCCTCATTTTAATAACTGTCATTTTCTAAGTGCATTACCTCATTTTCTGGCTGTAAGCCAGATACATTCTGATAGAAAAGGGGGGGAATGGGAGGGAGAGATGTTTTTTGCTTTGTATCTATCCCCTCCATATTTTTTCATTTTTTTAAAAAAAGCGACTGTTTAAGAAGCAATCAATATTTTCAGTAGCCATTGGGAGAGGTTAAAACAGTTCATGACCATAGGAATTGCATTTTAATGAGTAGCAAAATTTAATTCCAACCAAAATGACTTGATGCTTTCTTGTTTTTCTTCTCCGTTTTACAGCCTGGGTACATGGTGACCCAAGAAAAGTAGCCTATCCAACTGATAGCTATGGGCAGTTTTGTGGTCAAAAAGATACACCTAATGAGTAAGTACCAAATTCTTTTGCATCTGTGTTCCTGCCACATGCATCAAAACTATCAGCTCATTTTCTATTTTTTTTTTTTGCAGAGGACATATCGAAAGCTTGCAGGTATCTTCTCCCTTCATTCATCAGGGTTTTTAAAATTGGGATTCCAATTAAGATTTATTAAAAAAAAAAAAGTTCAAAGCAAGTCACTGCTCAGCTCAGACATTTGTCTGTCACTTAGTTATGTAACTGTTACATCATGAATCCAAGTGACTGTGAACCTAAGATGCATTGGGTCTGATTAGGCAACATAAATTGAATGCTTAAATAAGATGTCAACTGGGAAATTGTTATGTCATTCTGAGAGAAAAGTAATTTCTAAGCACAGCTGACTGCTTCCTATTTCTGTAAGTTTGTCATGTTTTATTCAAGCAGTATCATATGCCAGAAGCTGAACTTGGCAAGAATGCTCTCTTGCTTGCTTAAATTGATACATATGGCAAGCATTTAACTTGTCAGGGGCTGCAACTCTGCCTCCAACGTTTCCAAAGGCTTAAAGGAGGCCATGTTTATGTCACTTGAGAGGACAGGACTAAAGATGTCTAGCCCATTTCCTTACCAAATGACAACTGGAGACCTATAGAAAGCAAATTATAACCATCCCAACCCTAAAATTATCCCAAACTAATGTAATATATGTTGAAATGATGTAGTAAGCAGACCCCAGAAGGAACTTTTGAAGAGCCAAACAGGAGCAGTTGAGTTCTTGAAAATCCTGGCTTAATGTAATGTGTGAAAAAGGATATGGTGCCAGTTTATTTTATTTATTTGTATTCCACTTTCATTGTTTTTACAAGTAACTCAAAATGGTGAACATATTCAGCACTTCTTCCCCCTCCTAGTTTCTCCACAGCAACCCTGTGAGTTGGATTAGGCTGAGAAAGAGTGACTGGCCCAAAGTCATCCAGCTGGCTTTCTTGGCTAAAACTGGATTTGTATCAGTTTGGCTCAGGGCATTTGGTTATTCGAGAGCATACTTGTTTCTTAGTATTTATGAGGGCTATAAACAAGTGGCATTTTAATATAATTTTTTCTTAAAGTATAATAAGGGTACAGAATGATACATCAGCCTTCCCAAGCTTGGCAGTCTGCATATATATATTAGTAAATATTAGATTGTACTATAAATCCTTTGGACCTATTTTCAGCACTCATCAAGCCTTATCTGCATATTTCATTCTTTCTTGAATTACAACTTTAAAATTCATTATATATGAAGATAATATTTTGGTAAGCTAGTTAGGAGGCAGAAATAAAAATTTCATGTAGAAAAGCTTTTATGAAATTTGACCGGTTGCTGATATGGATTAAAGATTTATGGTTTGTAAAACCCAGAAGCTTCCTCTAATTCATATCTTGAGAGTAGTTAAATTTGAAGATACATGCTAATCTTTATGTGACTGTTATTTGAAGTGCTTTGGCACAGGAAAATGTAAATAATAGTTCCAATGGTTCAACAAATTCTATACCAGATAAATATTTTAGAATATTTGATGTTTTGAAACAATTCCAACATTCATAGTTCTTCAGGAAGGGATGATATTGAACTAAAATAACAGAATTAATTCCGTCTTGGGTTAAGTGCATTGTGAGGGAACTTTGTTATGTCAATTCATGTCCTTGTTAATCTCCATATAAACCAAGATTCCGTTTGCATTCAGAAGACAATAGTGTGATAGTCTGAAAAAGAAGCCACGGCTTTACTCTTTTAATGTGCTCTCTGTATTATCAGCAAATAGCAACACTTCAACTCCAATTAGATTGCCACTCAGCTGTATGGATTTCATTGCAGTGTGCATTTGGAATTTATCAATCTGAACTTCAATTTTAAAGAGTCCTAGTTGTATACTCATTGTGTATATCAAGAGGCAATAGTCAGAACACTTTAAAGGACACTTCAGTTCTTCGTAGCCGTCAATGGTCCTATTAGAAAGCATAATGATGCAGTGTGGCCATATAGGTGAATATGGGTATGATTTTTTTTTCTTTCTTAACTTTTTCAAAGGGGGTTGGAAATTTCCCTTTTCAATGCATGAAATATTTTTGGCAAACCATGCTAAAGAGACAGCCAAAGGGGGTCTCGGCAGCTTTCAAAAAAGAGGCAAAGCAGCCTGGAAGGATACTTTTTTTCCTTATTTTATTTGTTGAATTCAAATCCCATCTTTTTCTGTAAGAGTTTAAATGGCTTACATTGGGATCTTCTTTGTGGATCTCTGTAACAGCAAACCTGTAAATTACCGGTATGTTGGGCTGACATAAGAAGAGGGTGTCAACCTATTTTCCAAAGCACCAGAAGGCAGAACAAGAAGTAATGGATGGAAACTAATCAAAGAGAGAACGGGCCTAGAACTAAGGAAAAATTTCCTGACAATTGAAACAATTAATCAGCGGAACAACTTGCCTCTAGAAGTTGTGGGATCTCCAACACTAGAGGTTTTTAAGAAGAGATCGGACAACCATTTGTCTGAAATGGTATAGGACAGTGGTGGCAAACCTATGGCACGGGTGCCAGAGACGGCACTCAGAGCCCTCTCTGTGGGCACCCGCGCTATCGCCCCAGGCCTAGGCCTTCAGCTGGGTTTTATACAACCTTTTCGCTTTAGGCCTCTGCCACCCTGTACAAAAAAAAAGGTTCAATCAATCAGTCAATTTCAACTTTTTGCGGGGAAAAAAGATCTTGCAAAGTTGGAATTGATTGATTGAACTTTTTAGTCCCACCCAGTCTGCTGTTACCACCACAGCCACACTTACCCAATGGGCCACACCCACCTGGCACCCGATGATGCATAAGTGGGTTTTGGGTTGCAGTTTGGGCACTCGATCTCTAAAAGGTTCGCCATCACTGGTATAGGATTTCTTTCTGGGGCAGAGGGTTGGAATAGAAGACCTCCAAGGTCCCTTCCAAGTCTGTTATTCTGTTATTTCGACAGAAAATGACTGGCCCAGTTAACAAGAGGAATTCTATGGCTGAAGTTGGACTTAAACCTGGGTCTCCCTGATTCTAGTTTTAATCTGTCATTTTAACCATTTTTGTACATCGGCATATTAATTCTAAATATTTTTAGACCATTCATAGAAGTTTGATGAAACACTCAGTATTCTTTATTATTTAATTTGTTGGTAATTTATATCCACTCTTTCTGGAATTCAGTGTACTTCTAATGGGAAATTGCTTTAAAAAATAAATGGGTTAACTTTTTGCCCAAGTTGGCTTAAGGCAACTGTATGTTTTATATCTATATAATTCATTCTGGTCTTTCATTCATAAGAATGATCTATACTTATGAAAAGTATTCTTGGGATTTTATAAGGTCTATAGGTTTCTACATACAAACAAGTTGTTCACTGATTTTTTAGTGCCATCTTGTGATTACTATAAAAAAATGCCAGTTTCATAATACCATGTAGTATGTGTTTAAACTTTGTAAATGTACAAGATAAATTTACTGCACAGTGGTGAATTGGATATTTGATAAAACATTAATGTGAAAAATATGATTAAATTAGCATAAAATGGTGCTATCTATCCTATTGCACAAGGAAAGAACAATTTTCGCAAAATTAATCTTCATGTATGCTATAATAGGAATCCCTAAAGGCAGTGGTTTGGGAGTGAATTTTTAATATGTGTATAATATATTTATGTATTTGGTTAATTATTAATTATTGCTATACTTATACATGGAGTGAAAATGATCATTTTTTTCTATCTTGTAGGAACAAAACAATTTTATTTTATTTTAACATTCTGAAATGTGCCAGTCCTATAGTGCTAATAAACCTACAGTGCCCTACAACACAGGTATGTAGTACACAGTCAAGAATACACAGATTATATCTTGATACAGCTATTTTGAAAATAAAAAGTGTTATGTATTGGATATACATAAAGTAAATGCTAATGTTATATGTAAATTCTGTATTCTCAGTAGAGATATATCGATAAGATGGAAAGGAAACTGTCTATTTAGAATATCATTTAAGAAAGAAAAAAATATATTGAGTGCAGGACTGAATACCTGTGTTTATTCATTACTTCCCCCCCCCCAATACACATATATCAAGTAATGGATAATCACAACTAATTTTTAAAATTATTTATGAGATATTTAGAATAATAAGAAGAGAAAGTGTGCAGTCATTGAAGGAAGAATCTTTCAACTTCTTCTCATTTCCCTCTTTAAGTATTACAAAATAAAGAAGAAAAAGAAGAAATTATTATATGTGTATACTGTATAAATGCTTTGCTAAGCAAACAGTCTGTTTAAAAAAAAAGAAGCACTTTTACAGATTGGCAAATCTTTGCATAGGTCCTTTGGTAATATAGCCGTCTCATCCGCCATCCTCATGCTTCAATCAGTTTTTTTGGTTTTGTCTTAAAAGCTTTGTGTTTCAAAGTGCCCAGACAGATTTGCAACCTACATAGAAATGCAATCTTCCTACAGAAGTTATTGGGAGTACTACAAACAGTTTTGCAAGCCTGGGTTTACTAAGCCACGCAAGGTGAGTTTAGATGCATATTTTAATCAGTCTTGAATAAAAACATCAATGGCAAATTTATATCTGCAGGCAGTGGTGGGATTCAGCCAGTTCGCAGAACCAGTAGCTAATTTTTTGTTGTCCAGGCCCAGAACAGACTTCCGGAAGCAGCATCCACACAGAGAAACGGTTGTTCACATATTTGAATCCCACCACTGTCTGTATGACTATCTCCATGATTACTTACAGCAAAGCTATTGTTATAAGTTTCTAGTGCAAAGACGTCAGCCTCCAAAATTAAAATTTTAAAAGAGGCCAAACTACAACACTGAATGCAAACATCTAACCACTTAAAAAGTAATTTATTTTATTTATATTTATTGAATATATGTCCTGTATAACTTCTAGGAGCTCAAATGTGGGCCATTTGCTTCATATTATCCCTACAAAAGCAACCTTATGAGGTACAATGGACTGACAGATAGTCATTTCCATAGTTGAGAGTGGTTTTGAACATTGATCTCCTCCATTGTACCTTAACCACTCTAAAACACCAGCTGTCTTTGAAAACATAGTAGGGTCTAGATTTTTTATTCCTTGACTGTAATTTTCTGTAATTTTAAAACAAGCCCTCCATTTACAATTCACTGAACAATGCACCACAGTGTAATTAAGACCTTGTGCAATGGAATAGTTAAGCATCTATATTTATAAAGAAGAATCATCACTAGTTGAATCAAGTTAGCACTCTGGTCCAGAACATTTGAGCAGAGGTAAGAAAAAGAGTGAGAAAGGCAAACTTAAAGAAGGTCATGAATTGCATGATCATGGTTCAAATGTATCTCTCCTTTTATTCTCTGTCCCACAAGGTCAATTTGCATATCTGTTTGCTGCTTGCAATATTCATCTGCACAACTTACCTCTGTGGTGGGAGAAATGGGTTCCTTGGTCTCTGTTGCCCCATCTCTATTTTTTTTTTTAACCAAGGTAGTTAAATTTCAAAGTGCATCATCAACTAAGGAAAAAAACATCCAGTATCTTAGTAGGTTTATCAGAACTTCACAGAAATGAATGTATCTGGAAACTTGTAATATAGACATTCCTCCAGGGAATCCAATAATCTGGGTAGGGGTAAGAGCTTAAATAATTGTAAAAGAAAAAAATTCAGCAACATTGGAGAATCTCAGGCCAAAAAGTGGGAAATGAATGGCTATATTCAATTTTCATTAAATAATTAGTAGCATAACAAAGGGGTTGTGGTGGGATGGGGTGGAGGAAAGCCAAGAGGTTGTTTGTGACCACATGATCAATATCCTGCTCATTGGTACATCTTATAGTATTAGTGCAAGTGCAAAAATGGGATACCTTGATCATGTAGTCTCAACTGCTATCTTGGCTTTTTGAATCCTCATCTGACAATTCAGATTTGGGAAATACTTTATTTCAGTGATAGGATAAAGCAAAAGATATGAGTCATTGGAATTAACTAATTGATTTGCAGTGAGGTCACTGGTTTGAAGCAACTTACTCTAGTCTTTCAAAAATTAAATTCTTCTTCAATTATCTCATATTGAAAAGCTCTTACCAAGCCTGGATTTCGGTCATAAATTCATTACACTTATTATATTAAACGGTAATTTAATTCTGAAATTAGGTCAAAGCTACTTGCTCAAATATTTTCTCTTCAGAAGCATGACAGGAATCCTCCTGGTTTCTTTTACTATTAATAGGATGCCAGTCAGACAGGGACTTCATAGTTCTCACTGAAATTCTAACTGATCATTTATAACAACTTTTTAATTCTTAATATTAAAAAATGGATGGGTTTTTTTTCAGCATTTCTGCTTATGCTTTTGTTTTGACTTTTAGTCTGTGGCCCAAGTTATGCGTGATGAAGATTGTCCTTCTATGATTATTCCAAGCCGGCCTTGTAAGTATCTGTGTATTTATGTTGTGTAACAGTTAACATTGGCAGGGCCAAATACTACAATCTTTCGTCTTTTGAGTTTTGAGACATTCTGAGCTAAAGTTCAAGGACATAGTTTAAGGGACAAATTAGAAAAATACTAAATTTACGTCTTGGGTAAAGCACTGTTTGTTTTAATCATGCTTTGTTGATATGTATTATCCAACTCTAAGCTAGAAACCATGGCTCACACATGATCCATACATTTTGCTAAGTAAAATTCCAGTAAACCAAGTGTGACTTGAAGGAAGGAAACCTAACTAAACTCAAATGATAAATATATATTTGTAGCACTTCAAAACCTTCCTTAGTAGAGTGAATGCACCATATCTTAAATCCTAGTGTTTCACATTTTAAATCTTCCCTTGCTTCAGCTACTATATAATAAGACAACTCGCATACTCCAAATATCAGATAATTGTATCCTTCAATAAGCTAGAGCCATGTGATACTGTGTGCAGTCTTTATTTCCATATTATCTTCTCATATCTTGCTTTATCTTAGCACACAGTATGCTATACACACATATCTACATACCTAAATACCTTTTATGCTAGTCTCTTTGGGGCTATAAAATGATGCTAAATTCATTTACTTCTCCTGAACTGGTTTTTTTTTCTTTTCTTTTCACTCTAATTTAATTAGGATCCTTTTCTTTTTTTCAACGTCTCTTTTGGCTTCACAAAACAGTTTACAGCACGAGTGTCAAACTCGCCACGTCACGTGACATGTCGCAACATCATATCACGACTTTTTCACGTTGCTGGAGCTGGGGTGGGCGTGGCCTCCGCATGATGCAACCAGCTCGCAGGCTGGCAGGTTGACACCCCTGGACAGCAATGTGGATTGTTGGCTTTCTTTTAATGTGTTGTACAAAGGAAAACATGAGTGTTCATATACCACGGGTCGTATCATGATGTGCAAACCCAACCTGCAAGCCCTGTTCTTTAAAACATGCTGAAGAATAGGGAGATACGTGAATCCAGTGTCTATTCATGCTGTAGCTTGCCTATCAGCTGCAAAGAAGCCCAAAACTACAATAATTGCTGTGATGGAAAAAAAGTAATAATATTTTGCCACAATTTTATAATTCGTTAATAGTTATAAAAAGGTAGATATTTACTAGGATAACCTAAAATGCAGTATATTCCAATTTGTATAAAATAGAAACAAAAATTGCAGGAAAGCAGTAATGCAAAATTGATGCAGCTATGATCTTCCCACTTTTCTACACTGACAGTAAGAGAAATAATATAGATTTATAAATGACGTTGTGTAATTATCTGTGTAAAATTATACAGTTTAGCTGATAACATTAGCAAGAAGGGGAAAAAAGTAAAGGTTTATTTACTAGTAGCAAGCCATTCCAATTAACAAATGGAATATTGCTGGAAATAGGCAGTTGTTTAAAATGGGGCTTACCTTTACTATCACATATGAGATTTCTGAAAGTAATGATTGATGGATGAGGATGATGGGTGATTTTTTTTCAATAATTGAAAAGGCATGTCACAGTTCTAAAACTGTAAGGAAGTACATTTAATCCTGAAACTAGAAAGAAAGGCAATTAGAGAAAGAACATTGGTATGCTTAGGAGGGTGCTGACTTTTCAAGCATACCCTATCTACTTTTCATGGCAAAAGACATGGGAAAATCCCATTGGGGATCAAATCCACTTAGAGTTAGTTGTTAGGTCTCTATGAATTTGTAGAGCAAAATGGACATCTCTAATAGATTCGGAGCACATGGGTATGCTTAGGAGGGTGCTGACTTTTTGAAACTACCTACGTTTCCTGGTAAAATACATGGGGAAATCCCATTGGGTGGCAAACCCACTTAGGGTTAGAGTTGTGTCACCATAAATTTAGAGAGCACAATGTACATCACCAATGGATTCATAGTGCATCATTATGCTTAGGAGGGTGCCAACTTTTTGACCTATCTACATTATCTGGTAAAATAAATGGGAAATTCCTGGGGGGGGGAGAACCCACTTAGGTTTAGGATTAGGTACCCATGAATTTGGAGAGCAAAATGGATATCATCAACAAATTTGTAATGCCTCAGTATGATAAGCGTGTCCTGATGTTTCTACTTTTCCTGGTAAAATACATGAGAAAATAGCATTGGAGAGCAAACCTTCTTAGGGTTAAGGTTAGGTCACCATGAACTCAGAGAGCAAAATCGACATCATGAACAGATTCATAGTGCATCAATATGCTTAGGAAGATGCTGACTTATTAAGTTTCCTTGTAAAATACATGGGAAAATCTTTGAGCAACAGGTTCATAGTGCATCGGTATGCTTAGGAGGGTGCTGACCAAAATCAACATGAACAACAGGTTCGGAGTGCGAGACTTCCGGTGGCAGGCGATTTCGTCGGTCGCAGCTGTTTGTTGCCTCCCGCCTGTTTTGCGTAAAAGCCGGTTTGACAGCCAGCATCAGCTGTCAAACGGCTTGATACCTTTCCCCTGGGCATAAGGGGATAGGTGAGCTGCCCGGGGTAGGAGTTGAGTTCCCGAGTCGTCCTATATGGACGATGTAGGCGAGAAC